AGAGCCGCGCACCCCGCCGGCAGGAGCCTTCCTCCGTGCGATGATCGGCCACCCCGTTGGGCCGCAGCCGGATAAAGACTAAGAGGCCGATTTAATGTTTCACGCACAGTAATGTTCTGTATACAGTAGGTAGCCTGCAGATAATTTCGGAGGCAGAAAATAAACATTTTTTCATGGAGAAAGACTCCGTTATGTCGACACAAAGGGGGAAAGGTGAGGTGTGAAGGGGAATGACACTCGCGAGGCCACTCCGGGGGCACCCGGCGTGGTTCGCGGTTTGGGGCCATTTTACCGCTAACCCTCGGTCACTCCGTCACTCCGTGTGACCGGACAGGCGGACTTTCTGCCAACATTTCCTTCCTTTATTGATCTCGGGTTCATTTTTTAAAGCTACTGGCATTTTATCTATGTTTTGTTGTGAATCCTCACCCAAGGATTTTTTTTCCATTGGGTTTTAGTGAGAGTGGAAGGGAGGGAGGAGGGGGGGAGAGAAACATTGATGTGAGAGAGACACGGTGATGGGTTGCCTTCTGCATGCGCCCCAACAGGGGCCAGGGATGCAGCCTGCGACGGAGGACGTGCCCTTGACCAGAAACGCACCCGGGACCCTTCAGTCCGAGGGCCGACCCCTCTGGGGAGGGGGCAGCTGCGGAGGCCACGGCGGGTGGAGAATCGCTCAGAGCAGAACTGTGTCCGCAAGCAGCCCTGGGTTCCCCGGGGTGGGGGGCCGTGAGGGGGGACGGGGAGCTTCCTGGCATTTCTCTTCAAGTTCAAAAATGCCCGAAGCGACAAGGAAGACGCGGCAGCCGGGGCGGCTCAGGACAGTGAGGGGCACAGAGCCCGACGAGGGCGGGAGGGTCAGAATCTCCACAAGCTGTTCTTGACCCCCTTGGTGACATGAAACACAGTTTAACACGTGTACGGCCTGAATGTGCCCCCCAAACGCCTACGCGGCAGCCCTGAGCCCCAGGACCTCAGGATGTGGCTGCACTTGGAGATGGGGTATTACACTTTAAAGAAAGTTCAGCCCTGGCAGGTTTGGCTCAGTGGACAGAGCAGCAGCCTGCGGACTGAAGGGTCCCGGGTTCGATTCCCAGTCGGCACATGCCCAGGTTGCAGGCTCCATCCCCAGTAGGGGGCGTGCAAGAGGCAATACTTTTATTGATTTTAGAGAGGAAGGGAGAGAGAGAGAAACATCAATGATGAGAGAGAATCATGGATCGGCTGCCTCCTGCACACCCCCTACTGGGGATGGA